AGATGGGTACTATACTTTCCCTTTCCCAGTCATATGGGACCTCTGCTGATCGCTACAAATTTTTCCAAGACCACAGCCAGTGGCTCTGCAATCACATCAGCCAACTCCCTCAGTACCCTTGGGTGCATCATGTCTTTCCCATGGACTTGTACATATTCAGCTTTTCTAAATAGTCCCTAACGTGTTCTTTTGCCACTGTTGGCTGCTCACCTTCTCTCCAAACTGTGCTGCCAGGTGCAGTAGTCTGGGAGATGACCTTGCCTGTGAACACTGAGGTCAAAAAGGCATTGAGTATGTCAGCCTTTTCTGCAGCATCTGTCACTAGGTTGCCTCCCCCATTCAGGAAGGGACTCACATTTTCCCTGATCTTCCTCTTGTTGTTGACATAGTTGCAGGAGCCCTTCTTGTTACCCTTCATGTCCCTTGCTAGCTGCAACTCCAATTGCCCTTTGGGTTTTCTGATTTCATTTTTGCATATCCAAGCAATACTCTTATACTCCTCCCTAGTAATCTGCGAAAGTTCTACTGGGAACATAGAATTATAATATAGTGCAGGAAAAAAAAGTGTAGCATTATAGTACAGTAAGAAAAGAAAAAGGCATTGAAGTGCAAACAAAAATAAAATAATACTTAACACTCATGCAGCATGTAACTTCCAAGCATTGAAAAATGCTTTACAAACCTATTTATGTTAAACATAAGGCAATATTGTGTAAGACAGAACTTATCCTGAAAGTACAAAGAAGCACATTGAGGCAAGGAGCCAGTAAGTAACTTCTTACAAAGCTGAACAGAAAGGCAGTGGCACAGAACAGGATGAGAATCCAAATATCTTGACTTCTAGAAGATTGCTTTCTCTGCTAGAAGGAAAATACTTGAAAAGAAATATGCCTTTGCTTTATATAAGACATTATTGCTTCTGCCCCCACAGCTTACCAAGTCATCAAGTAGATTTCCTGTCATAAGGAGAAGACACTATTTTGTTGCTCTAAAATACTATGACAATATAATTGTAAATCCTAAGCCTAAAACAGATAATTGTACCTGAATCCAATATTAAATCATTGTACATCTTACACTGCTAACAAGTTCTGTCAATTCATGAGAGGTATAGATGAAACATAACAATTGTTAATTCATCATTTCAGTGTTTATAATAAATATGCTTTTATTCTTACATTGTTTGTAGTAAATACATTCCTTGAAAAATTATACTCTAGACTTCTCTGTCATGGGTGGTTACAGATTTCAGGCAAAATCTGTGATAATATTCATTTCTAAAAATTGCTTATTTAAAAAATTATTAATCTGAGCATAAAAAGCTTTAACAATTAAGCTGTTGATTTTATTTTTTTAAAGAACAGATCCTGAAATTGATAGTGTACAGGTAGACTGCTGTATCTATAGTGCCTTCCTGACATCCATGGAAACTATCAGTGTCTGCAGCAGCCAACCTAGGTACTGTCAATTGCACAACTGGGGGTTTAAGATTCTGTCTCCATTTCCATTGTTTATTACCCAAAATTGCTAAGTAGGTTTCCATAATGTGTTCTTTAATCCTTGAAGATTTATGTTAATTGATTTGTATGAATAGTGCCATTGAAGCTGTGAACCAAACAAATGTGACTAATTTATATGGAGGTATGGTTTAGGTGAAGATGGAAGATAACTTGAGTGAAAGTGGATGAATCTACATATGCAATTAATGCAAAGCAATAAACTTCAGAACAGTTTGAGCTGGGGTAAACTACTCCCAGATGCAGCAGCTACATGTGTGCCCAGAACTACAGCAATTTGATCTGGGGAAGAGCAGGTCTAGCTGGTAGGGGACACTGGGGGTCAGCCCCAGGTTCTGAATGGCAGCTTTTGGTGGTTGATGGGCTGGCTTGGGCATGAGGGTGCTGAAAGTGCAGAGCCATGTGGCTAGGTGGAAGGCAGGAGTCTGGCCTCCTGCTGGCTGGACTGACTGGGCACAGTTATGCCCATGGTTAGTATATTCTTTCATTCATTCAGCAAACCCTCCGGCAAGTTGCACATACAAACTCAGTTGAGCTTGTGCCAGCATGCTGAGTACCGTTTTGTCTTACCTGCCTCTGATACCTCTTCTCTATCTCATTATTGACCCTTTCCATCTTGAAGTAATGTAGGTCCTGCTTCACAGTGACTTTCCACTTGCAGTGATCCAAACTGACTGATTCCTAGCATTGGCTATCAATGCACAGCTCATGAAAGTTTTTCTTGCAGACATCAACAAAACAGAGTTTGGGCTGTCCAAGCTGATGTCTGCCAGTGGCCAGCTCACTTTAAAGTGTACCTTTGGGGATTCAGCCATCGCTCATGATTCATATGTCCCAAACAACTGAGGTGTCTCTGTCTCAGGAGCAGGATGCTGGGTATCTTGGCCCATTCCAGAACAGCGAGTTGAAGATTTTGTCATGCCACGTTATGCCCAAGATACGGTGGAGACATTGAAGATGAACACTATACAGTTTTCTTTCTGCCTTGCCATAAGGAGGCCATGTATCACTGCTGTACAATAGAGAGCCAAGTGTGCAAGAGCTGTAGATGGACATCTTTGTCAATAGAGTGAGCACTCTGTTCTTCTAAACTCTCTTTTGAAGTTTAACCATGGCATTGCTTGCCTTTCCAGTGTGGAGGAGCCCAAGTAAGTGAATTTTTCAACCACTTTCAGGCTTTCATCATTTATTTCAACTTTAGGAGGATGATCAACTTGTTGACCCATGACTACTGTTTTCTTTAAGCTAATGGTCATAAATTGTCACAAGCATGAGAAATGTGATCCATGAGACTTTACAGTCCTGCTTCTATATGACTAACAATTGGTGCATTGTCAGCAAAAAGCTTTTCACAAACAATAACTTCTTGAGTTTTTTTTTCATTTTGAGGTTAAAGAGTTTCCCATTAGATCTGGTCTGAAGGTATACTCCTTCCAAACAGCCACTGAATAAATATTTGAGTACGACATTGAAGAAAATCCCAAAAAGTGTCAGAGCTCGGGCTTAGCCCTGTTTGACACCATTCTTGATTTCAAATTATTCGGATTTCAATTCTTCCAATCTTTATCAATTGAACTGCACCATTCCATGCATAGTGACATGGAAGGACTTGATGATTCTCAGGAACTTAGGAAGGCAGCTAATCTTCTTCAGGATTCAGAACAGACCATTTCTGCTGACAAGATCAAATGCTTTGGTGAGATCAACAAATACTATGGACAGAGATTTCCTTTGTTCCCAGCACTTTCCTTGTAACTGTCTCAAGGAAAATATCATATCTGTCATGGACATACCAGATCTGAAACCACATTGAGACTTTGGGTAGACTCTGTTTGCAAGGGTCTTCATTCTTAGCAGGACAACTTTGGCAAACAGCTTCCCAATGATGCAAAGAACATACCGTGATAGTTATTGCAGTCACTCATATCACCTTTGTTTTTGTAGAGTAACTATGTTTCCATCCTTCATGTCTTGAGGAACTTTACCTTCTCTCCAACATATACATATTAATTTGTGCAGATGAGGGAGGAGGATGGATTTCCCACAATTAACTTTAGCAGTTATGCAATCTGCACCAGGGGCTTTACCACAAGCAAGCTGATCAATAGCTTTTTCTACTTAATCTACAGTAAATTCATGGTCAAGCATTGTCAGAGTTGGGAGATCTTCAAGTGCATCGAGAGCAGAGTCACAGACCATATTACTCAGAACTGCACTCTTGCGAAAATGTTCAACCCATCAATCCATCTGCATATTGTGGTCATTGATGACTTCACCAGTGGAGAATTTTAAAGGGCTTGTCTTCCTCAGCACATGCACAAGAGCTTTTCTGATGCCCCCATACATTGCTTGCATGTCACCTTGGTCAGCAGCTTTTTGGATACTTTCTCACAGTTACAGCCAATAATTGTTTGCACACCATCTCACTGTATGTTGGACCTTTTTACAGGTCTCTTGAAGTGCCTGCAAGCTGGAGTAGCTAGGGTCACACTTACATTTAAGGAGTGCTGATTATTTCTTTTCTATGAGTGGGATCATTTCGGATAAGTTCTCATTGAACCAGTCATTTGATCTGCAATGCAAGGTACCACAAAAGTCCAAGGCAATTTGATAGACGCCTTCTTTGGGTCTACATGTGCATTTAATTTCAGTAAATTACCTCTTCATATTTCCTGCATTGCCCTTTAAAAGTTCTTGTGGCACCCCAGTGTGCCCCTGACATGTCGATATAGAATCACTGGCCTGTGAAGAGGAAAGGAGGAGAGCAGCAAAGTAAAGACACTGGATTTCTGAGAAGCAGACTGGCTGTCCCTTAAAGAGACCTTTTTAAGGATGCAGAAGCAAGTTATCCTGATGTGACAGAAGAATGGAAGAATGGGAAGTGCAACAAGAGACCAGCCTGGCTAGACAATGATCTCTTCAATGAGTTGAAACTCAAAAAGGAATCCTAAAATAACTGGAAACTTGGTCATGTTATTAGGTAAAAAAAGGATTGCATGGGTTTGTAGGGAGGAAATCCAAGGCACAATTGGAGATGAAGCTGGCAAGGGACATAAAATGCAATAAAAAGGGATTCCACAAGTATGTCAAGAGTAAGAGAAAGACCAAAGAAACCAAAATTCTCTTTCAGAATGCAGAAGGTAATCTAGTTATGAATGATGAAGACAAAGCTGAAGTATTTAATTAATGTTTTACTTCAGTCTTTACAAATAAGGGCAGCTACCAGATGGCAAGTGCAACTGGCAACAAAGATATGAAAAAAGTCAAAAGCCTAGAGTAATGGCAGAACAGGTCAGAGATTACTTAGAGAAGCTAGATCCTTTCATGTCCAGAAGGCTGGGTGGGATGCAGTCTAAGGTACAGAAGGAATTGACTGAGATTTTCAGAAACATTACCTATCCTTTTTGAGAACTTGTGGAGGTTGGGTGAGGTCCCAGTTAACTGGAAAAAGGAAAATATAGTGTCCATATTTAAGAAACAGAAGGAGGAGGACCTGGGGAATTAAAGGCAATATCTGCCTGACATTGATATCTGGAAAGATCATAAAGCAGGTCCTCAAGGAATCTACTGTGAACAGAGGAGAACAAGGTGATCAGAAACAGCCTGCAAGGATTCACCAAAAGTAAGCCATGCCTGATCAACCTGATTTCCTTCTGTGATTGGTTGACAGATTCTGTGGATGGGGGGAGAGCAGTGTATGTGATATAAGTTAACTTTAGCAAGGCTTTTTACAGTCTTTCACAACATTATTGTTAACAAGAAAAAGAAATAAAGACAACAAAAATGCCACAGGGTGAATACATAACTGGTTGGCTCATCATGCTCTATGAGTAGTCATCAATCGATCACCCAATCAGGGCATGGGGCTGGGACCTGCCCCTGACCATGACAGTTCTGAGACAGCCCCAGGCTGTGTGGGGAAGTCTGCATGTGCAGCCCACAGCTGGTTGAGGACCGCCCAAAATAGGACAGTCCGCAGCCACCTCCAGGCTGCATGTGCTTCCCCACACAGCCTGGGGTTCCAGCCAGATCTAGACCAGGCAGGGAACTGTCCCAATGCAGGGAGCTCCCAGCCCCTGCTTCATGATTACAATTGCAATCATGGAGTAGGGGGCTGGGGAGCTTGTTCCCCCCACAACTCCTCACTTCTGGAGCTGGGCAGGGAACAAACTTATGGAGCTGGGTGGGGGAAAATCTCCCCAGCCCCTGCCAGCAGGGAGCTCCCAGTGCTGGGTCTGCAGCTTTGGAGCCACTGCTGGGAGATGCTTATCTCCTAGCCTGAGCCCCACAGTCATGGGACTCGGGCTGGGAGACCCTCATCTCCTGGCAGAAGCTCAGCCACCACAAGGCTGCTGCTGGGAAATTGTTATCTTCCAGCTGGAGACCTGCAGTTATGGGGATCAGCCTGGATGATAAGAGTCTCCCAGCCCAAGCCCCTTAACCACGGGGTTCAGCCTGGGAGATAAGCATTTCCCAGCAGTGGCCCTATGGTGGCAGAACTGCTGCTGGGAGATGAGCTAGACAGAGTCTTTTGGTTCAAGTTGATATCTTTTATTAGAACAACTTGGAGGTGGGTTGATGTTCCTAGCAAGCTTTCAGATAACACAGTATCCTTTTTCAAGCTAAGTGGAGTGCAGCAGGGGGTGACTCTCCTGTGTATACTGGGGAATCTGTTAGTAGTCTGTGCAAGTCTGAGCACTACACATCCTCTGCCAGCAGAATGGGGTCAGAG